AGAGGGAAGGCAGCTAGTCATCACCACCCACCGCCAACTCTTGGGCTACTCTTTTACCAACGAATAGTGGGATTGACCGTCACTTTATAACGCCCCCACGGCTGAAAGGGCGAACATGTTTGGTGTGACGGGGATTCAAACCCGCGACCCACATTGCGAGTCGAGCGCCCTAACCACCTGGCCATGTCGGGCCGGACAAAGGGAAGGAATAAAAATATGCTGCCAGTAAGAAAAAACCTAGTTTAAATCTATGCGTTGGTGATTATAGAAACAAACAGCAATTTCTTACGTATATTAATATGAGTTGGTTCCTAATAGGAATAAATACAACCTTAATAAAGTTGAAAGGAAGGGAAAGTGGAAGTATAGCACAATCATAACAAAGTGGTGTCAAAAGCGGTCCACATCAATTACTACAGAATACAGATAATACAAAAGCGGTCCACATCAATTACTACAGAATACAGATAATACAAAAGCGGTCTACATAAGTAACTACAGAATACAGATAATACAAAAGCGATCTACATCAGTTACTACAGGATACAGATAATACAAAAGCGATCTACATCAGTTACTACAGAATACAGATAATACAAAAGCGGTCCACATCAATTACTACAGAATACAGATAATACAAAAGCGGTCTACATTAGTTACTACAGAATACAGATAATACAAAAGCGATCTACATCAGTTACTACAGGATACAGATAATACAAAAGCGATCTACATCAGTTACTACAGAATACAGATAATACAAAAGCGGTCTACATAAGTAACTACAGAATACAGATAATACAAAAGCGGTCTACATAAGTTACTACAGAATACAGATAATACAAAAGCGGTCTATATCAGTTACTACCGGATACAGATAATACAAAAGCGGTCTACATAAGTTACTACAGAATACAGATAATACAAAAGCGGTCTATATCAGTTACTACCGAATACAGATAATACAAAAGCGGTTTACATCAGTTACTACAGGATACAGATAATACAAAAGCGATCTACATCAGTTACTATAGGATACAGATAATACAAAAGCGGCTTATATCAGTTACTACAGAACACAGATAATAAAAAGCGGTCTACATCAGTTACCACAGAATACAGATAATACAAAACCGATCTACAACATTTAATACAGAATACAGATAATACTGACACTGGACTGCACTTTCTAAGAACAATGCCCCAGATCATGATCTGTAATAACCATGGTTACAAACTATTTGCTGCCGTTGTAATTTCCATCGTAACAAGCTTTTGAGAAAGACTGTGAGATTCATCCTAAATCACACATCGTGATAACAACTTCCTATTTTACTTAATAATCGACTAACAATTTAAGCAGACCACAGGTATAAAATGACATTGGTATTTTACTGGGGGACTTGACAAGCATGTGGTCGAATGAGATTGCTATATTTTCAGCTCTTTTCGATTATCTTCCTGATGAAAACAGCTTCGTCGATTTTAGGCCCTTCTTTATTATCTTATTAATGATCAGATTCATCAAAAATTCTTTTTGGGTCATAAGGTTCTTTTTCCTAACCTTGTCATTGCAAATAAGGGCGTGTTGCTCCGGAGTAGTTTGGTTTGGTTTAGGAGCCAGTTGCTGTCCTAAAAGTTTTTCTGCACGAGTTTCTTTTTTGCTATTAGGGGCAATGAGAGTTCCCTTTTTCTAAATGTCATATTCTTCAGAAGTTTCCAGTTATCTTTCTACATATTTTGTTTACATACACAAACCACTGAGCATGCAGTTTCATCAGAAGACTAATGTTCTAACTACAGGTTAAAAAGACATGGAACGTTTAATGAGACTCTGGATGTGAACCATGAATCTTTGGATTCATAATCTGGTCACCCTCGGACCCACTAGAAATACCGTATGCCATTTCAAATATAAATTATACTATCAAATATTTTCTCGGTTTAATAATCTAAAACAATCGACACTTGCATCGTGTAGTTCTTTGAAATATGATGAGAGTAAATACAACAGACGTTAACTAGTGAACTGAACCATCGTAATTTTGTTCAAATTTTTATGAAATTTATCATCTGAGAAAAACAAAGTTTTAATCTTTCAGTGTCTTATTTTTCTATATATCTTGTTATACTTTTGGAAGAAGATACGTCAGTAACTGTATTTCTAAAATGAAGATTCCTCAAGAACACTCAATTCATCCAGGTTGTTGTACTAAGTCATCGTATCAAACACATTATTGAACTTGTAAGCCTTAAAAGGGATAAACAGATACCCAAATGTTCAATTTCGAATTTATTTTGTAAAGAAAATGATCACCTGCTACAAATTACTAACAACCTCACAACTGGTTTGGATTGTTTCTACAAAACCCAATTTGCTGATTTAAATCCAGTTACGTTACGTTAAATTTGATAGCAATATTCGCTTGAGCTCATGAATCTGTTTTGTAACTAAACTGTAGCCATTTACTTTAAGTGACATCACAGTTAGTAGATACCTTTTTTGTAATTGTTCTGTGACAATATGACACACATACATTTTTTGTAATCCAGTTTAAATAATCCGTATATCTACAGTATAGAATAACCTATATTTTATAAATCAACTTCTGTTTTCAAGAAAACCAAAACTGGTTACAAGCTTAGAAGATAAGCCGAAACTTTGTGTCAACTATTCTTCAGCTAAGCACAGCGCCCAGTTATCGATTTTACATTACGATGATTTATTGTTTTCTGTTCAAACACGTTATTATTTGGCGAACAAGTTTTTTGTTGTTTTTTCAAAACCGATCAGCAGCTTTTACACAAAATGTATCTGAAAAATTTCGAGATGACAGTGTCTGCTGTTTTTTTCATATTTGTTTCCTGAAGAAAAGTTGTTCAGTTACATAATCCATTCTTAGCTTTACCGCCATTGTTTCAATTTGAGGAAATTGATCTGTTCGTCAGCAAACTTCGGGTTTGGAAAAACCAAAAGAAAAAAAAATCCTTCAAGGCAATTGATTTGTTCAGTAAATGTTTTATCACTCCTAACAGATTCTACATAAAGCGGTTCTTTAGTATTGTTATACATACAACACTGTAGGGGGTTCCAAAGAGAATTCTACAACACTCAATATGCTATAATCCAGAGGCTCAGAAGAAAATTATATAGTACTTAATATACAATATTAAAGCATTTCAGGAGAGTTCTACAATATGAAGATTTTTAGCGTTACAAGGCTTCAAGTTTACCACTGAGCCATCGGGGGTGTATTTGTATTTATTTCAAAACTACTAAGGCTAATTTTAAAATACAAACGAGTAATAGCACCCTATCACCAACGCTGAGGTATAGAATTTCAGTCTTAAAACTACTAAGGCTAATTTTAAAATACAAACGAGTAATAGCACCCTACCACCAACGCTAAGGTATAGAATTTCAGTCATAAAACCACTACGGCTAATTTTAAACTACAAACGAGTAATAGCACCCTACCACCATCACTGAGGTATAGAATTTCAGTCTTAAAATTACTAAAGCAAATTTTAAACTACAAACGAGTAATATCACCCTACCACCAACGCTAAGGTATAGAATTTCAGTCTTAAAACTACCAAGGCAAATTTTAAACTACAAACGAGTAATAGCACCCTACCACCAACGCTAAGGCATAGAATTTCAGTCTTAAAACTACTAAGGCAAATTTTAAGCTACAAACGAGTAATAGCACCCTACCACCAACGCTAAGGTATAGAATTTCAGTCTTAAAACTACCAAGGCAAATTTTAAACTACAAACTAGTAACAGCACCCTACCACCAACAACGAGGTATAGAATTTCAGTCGTATAACCTACCCACAGCTTACAGGGTAGGGAATATTTGTGGTATCGTACAGAGTTGAAACCAGCTCGGAAAACCAAAGGCGCCACCAGAGAAAGGCAAAAGAAAAGCAAGCTGACGATCACTATCGTATCCGTGATATTAGTAAAAGAATGACATTTTAATAATTCCTATTCGGTATACACGAATAAATAAAATCAGTCAATCGAGTAATCTGTTGTTGCCAAAATGTATTACTTCAAATCTTGCATTTTGGACAGTGTGTGTGTGTGTGTGTTTTCTTATATCAAAGTCACATCAGGCTATCTGCTGTGTCCATCGAGAGAAATCGAACCCCTGATTTTAGCATTGTAAATCCGAAGACTTACCGCTGTCCCACCGGGGGACATTTTCGACAGAAGAGTTTAGATTTTTTTTTATATCACTCTCGACAAAAGTAACACTGAAATAGGTTTTCTAATATAATCTAAGAACACGCATACTACTGTTAAAAACAACGACAATAAAAGCGTAAACTGAGGTATAGACTATTTTGTTCACAAAAATTGTTTCAAAACAATCTTGAAATTTAGTTATCTACTTATTTTTACAACTTGGCGCGTTCTTAATTACACTCAGAATTTTCTCCACAAGTTCACCAATAATTCCACTCAAATATATCATGACATCATCGCAGAAGTTCGTTTGCATTGGAACTTATAATCATGCTTTTTGAAGACATTCGTTATCAATGTATATACTCCGAAGAACTGTTTTAAGTTTTCGTACGAAATAAAAAAAATGGAATATTGATAGTAATGTTTATTGCGCTAGTTTTGATGTTGAGTCTTTCTTTACGAACATTCTTTTAGAAGAAATTAGACATTTAAGTGGTGATTGGAATTTGAATAATAACTTTAATTATTTCTAAATCTGTATTTTTGAAATCGTTGAATTTTGCAACTACGGAATCTCATTTTATGTTTTAGTTTAGTTGTCGTTAAGGGCAAAGCTACAAAATAAACTACCCGTGCTCTGCCCACCACGGGTATCGAAATCTGAATTTTAGCATCGTAAGCATATAGACTTAACTATTAAGTCAATAAAAAACCTTTATGTTTAAAAGCAATCTTAATGACCAAGTTGCTCACTCAATTTTTGGAATACTTGGACAGTATATATAACAGTATAAAATTTACCGTTGAAAATCAACAGGATCATAAAGTCTCATTTTTTGGATACGTTGATTCATTAAACTGATGGTAACTTCAAATATGAAATATATAATAAAAAACATTTACTGGCTTGTAATTTGATTTCCAAAGTTTTATACCAACAGTCTTTAAAGAAAATTTAATTAAAATCTTATTTAATGGTGTTAATAAATTTCAAGTACTTACAAATTTGTGGATAAAGAATTTGATAACATCAAATACTTCTTGTGCAAAAATAGTAGCCTAAATCAACTAAACTTGCCGAACCTCGTACCACATTATTCGGTAATACGACCGAAAATATCGTTAACAGTGATTGATGAAACAATTAGCTATATTGAGGGTCAGGTTGGTCTTTAGTATCGTTTAAAGTATGTGGCTTACATTGATCGGAAGTTATGTACTAAAATATCAAAGCAAAGTTTATCAATAATACCTCTGACAATCTTATGAAGTCAATAAACGTTCACCCATATTAATTCAGCTTGTAGCTTTGTGTTTATGATTGCTTGTCTGCAAACTACTCCCACAGTTCTGAAGCTAGCAGGCCTAAACTTAGCAGGCAGGTTCTGAATAGCCTTACCTTTATTGGTGTAACTCCACTTTAAATGCCCTCAGAAGGATACCCAGGCATAATGGGGTTCTAAGAATGGATCTTTAGGGTTACTGAACCCAAATATGGTAGAGGGTTGTGTTCCTGGCTCCCTCAAGATCTTGGGGGCACCATGTTTAAAACTGTGTTTATACCCTACTCATAAGCTAGTACCATAGGTGAGTGTCCTAATGGATTGTTTTGTGGAGAATGAACCCCCTTGGGGTTAGCTACAGAAATAATTGGAGGTAACGGAGGAGTTTGTTCGATACACTGGGGCCTCTGTGAATCATGGGGGAGGGAGGCTATGAACCCTGCAATAGAGTGCAGGTATTTTATGCTAGTATTCAGAATACAGCATATTTTCCATACAAGTTAAGGGCAAAAAAACAGCTCAGTAAAATCACATGGCAAAAGATAGCTTACACTGAATAAGTACAGTTATAATTTTTGCTATAACTATAGTGTGATTAAGCTCTGGACTTATCATATTGAGCAATAATTCTTCACAATATTTCATTATAGAATAAAATAACAGTCACATGGAAATGTTGAAAACAAATATTTACTTTCTTTTTTCCTCAATTGTTAAAAGTTTTTGCTGATCTTTGCACTATTTTGATATATGAATTATTATTATTATTACACAAAAAACATTTAGTGGATTAATTGATATTTAGAACATGTTTTACTCAATAATACAACTTCAATGTAAGATTAAAGTGTTTTTGCATCATCCATTACATGAAACTTTTTATAAATGACTTTAGAAAAATTATTACTTTGTATTATTCAGTTTAAAAACAAACAAGGCAAACAGAAAATTTGTATCATTTTCAAGCTTTTTGTGTAGCAAACACTTCAGTATACAAGTGATGTTATAAACAATTACAAAACTGTTAACTATTTTTTTTCAACTGTCACTGTGGAAAAACAAAAAAATCCAGTGGAAACATAAACGATAAAATATATATATATTATTTTTAAACATTTTTTACAAGAAATAGTTATAGTTAACAAGAATACAACATAATAAATCAAGCTTTTTAATCTAACCTCGTTTGTCTGATAATTTTAAAGCTGCTCTAACATAATAATTAATTACAAACTCATGTACTGAAACTAAACAAAACCTACATTCAAATTCTCATCTATTTTCAGTTCTTACTGAATTATACGATTTGGGAAATTTTGAACATATTATAAACTACAATTAAACCACACAAAATGAATAATTTTAGCAATTAATCAAGAACTCTGTAAATGCAGTTCAAGCTAAATACATTTTTCAGCTGTTGTAACCACTAATAGTTACTAAAGTCATTCCCTTTTCATGAAAACTTAAAAGTTTTTACTAACATCCACACAAAAAAGCTGCAAAAAAAGTGTTCTATTTTGTCTTGAAAAATTCTCCAAAAAATACAAATCTCAAACTTGTTTCATCATACCCTCTATATCTCCATAAAAATAAGTTTTGTGAAGAAAAAAATCATAAAAACAACAACTGTAACATTTCTCAAGTACAACATAATTATATTTAACTTCTTAAAAATGTTTTGTTAACTGAGAAACAACAAAGTAACAAATATTTTCTAAATTGTCATGCAAGAACATTACAAAAATATGGCCTAGGTGAACTTTCTCATCCAGGCAGGTCTCCAGAAAACTTTATATGTACTGCTTGCAATGAAAAAAATTTAACCTTCTCTCTCTCTCTCGTTAGGTTTAGAATAACTCAGCTTCCTTATTGCCAAATAATTTTACACAACTCTCCACGTACTGGTGCGTTAACAATCTTACTCTCAATATTTTATATACACACAACTACCTAGCTCTGAAAATTGTCAAAGAAAACAAAACGACTGTAAATAGAATAAACATCTCAGGAAAAACCATTAAATTGTTACATTTTTAGTTATCAGGTACAGCATTACTAATAAACAAAACACCAAAAGTGAGAAATATCAACATACAATACTTTTAATGAGTGCACAAATATTTCAAATATGAGAACAAAATGTAGTAATTCAGTGTAAAATAAATCAAATTTTTAAGGATTTGAATGACTTTAGAAGTGCATGATGATTATATGAGAAATTATCAAATTTCATACATTAGGCCTATCAAATATTTAACAGGCTGTCCATAGTTTATCTCATTTAATACTCTCTCATGTAAACGTATTCACTATCATAACATTTAAGTAATTTTAATCATATTTCATTTGGCAGCAACTACTTGTGGATTGGATTGTGATTTTAGTAAATGTTGTGAAATATGTACAAAAAAAATTACTGAAATTACATAAAAATTTTTGCTCATTTTCAGCCTCTCATTTTAAACAAGCATATTTTTTAAATCATATGAACAGATAAGAATAACATATTAGATATAAGAAATATTTAACCTCCTCTACTGCACCTGGAGAACTTTCAATACAAACGTGGAAAATTCCACAAATACGTTTTAAGATCCTTTTACATCAGTTTTTGTAACAAAGTCTGTAACTACTCTTTAAATGCTGAAGGTTTCTTTGTAAGAGATTAATGGTAGTAATTCTAAACTTCATGTTTTTGTTTTCAATACCAGTTCAACTATAGAACCTGTAAAAATTATAAGATATTTAAACACTTTTCATTTGTGGAAACAATTTTCTAAGTTTTTAGAAAACATGCTAATGTACTGGAAAAAAAAACCAACAACTTTTAAAAGAAACTATAAAAAATATACCATACATTATTTTGTCACAACTTCTGATCTTCTATTTAGCAAAAGCTATTAACAAATCCACCTATCTCATTTTTCTATGAATATAAACGCCAATAAGTTGATTGCTGAAGCACTTTTAAGCACCCAAAATTTAATCTATTCAAAGAAAAACATATGGACTTTTAAGTAGATTTACTTAATTACACAGTAATTACTGTAACAGCAGTAAGGGTATGATTGATTTCCAAGATAATGCTCAACTATCTGCATTGATTGGCCACCAATCCTTAAGTCTGGGATAATTTTTCTGTTTTTATCTGAAAGTAGCATGCCTAAGGAAAATAAACAAAATAAGTACATTTTTACTATACAAATAAATGACATTTGAATAACAAGTAATACAAAAATACAGCAAAAAAGTTACACAGGATAATCAAAGATATACTTAATGACAAGATGTATTGTTAAAAAGAATTAAAATCATAACATGATACATATATAAAAAGGTCCCTTCTTTCTTTGCTTTTTGTGGTCATTGAAACACCAAAAAGCTATAATTTTATAACATTTACTTGAAATGTTAAAACTAAAGATGCCTAACAATACAACATCTTTTTACAAATGAGGTGAGCTTGATCAAGTAATCCATGTGTTATTAACAAACACTAGGTGGTGCTAGCATTCCTTCTTGTTACAGTTGAAAACTATCAAATCTTTTATTCACAGAGAAGTATATATTATATAACTAATCCTTTCCTTGTTGACTTTCTCAATGTTTGTTGGGAAATGCTTAACATTAAAATTCAAATGCTTTAAACTAATAACTGTTGCAGTAGTCAGAAGAGAATATATATCACTCAAATTTTTAAAGTGAAACTGAACTTCTGAATGAAATGGATTGTGTCTTGAGTAATATAAAAATGTTGTTCACCACTTTATATATATATATATATATATTGTTTTATAAGAATTTATTCCAAAAATATAAAGAGAGAGAAAGTAAATCAGCAGAATATGTGGTAAGCCCAAATGCACACACAGGTAAAATGCAATACATTGTCAAGGGTTAATTAACAATGAAATGTTTAAGAATATTAGCTTCTTTTCTTAGATATGACGTTTTATTCTATCAGTTATGCTAAAACGAAACGTGCTTCACTAGTTTTGAAATTACACACCATAAAAAAACTGATGTCTGTCGAAAAAGTTCAGCAAAAGTAAAACAGTGTTATAAACTTTTTGTAAGTGTACAATTTAATGATCAGGTTGATGTTGTATTAATAGAGAATATATACAAAACTGTAGTCCTTTTATAGAAACAAAGAATATGTTTGTCACAAAAAAAGTATAAACCAACTTTACAAGTCCAGTTCCAAAAGAGAAAATACTGACAAATTAAAATTTTTTACAAATATGAAACACATTATATATTACTAATTTGAATGAATGTGAGATTGATTTTGGTGGAAAAATGTCTTAAGCAAGGCAGAAATCTTGAGAACTTCAAGAAGCGGCAGTCTATTCAAGCTAATGATCTTGCACAATTAAATAATATTACCAGACAAGACAGGTAATGTGGCACATGGCTAGCTACAAAAAAAAAAAATAAAAAAAAAATGCCAGGACTTTCAAAGACCAAACTGTCATTTTCAAGGCCCTAGTTTACTGATTTTAACTCCACCAAAATTAAATAGCTAATGTTTTATTATATTTCATAAAAAATGCAGGAACAGCTGTACAAACTGTTCTAGAAGTAACAGTAACACCTCAACTATCCAAAAAGGAAACTTATTCAAGTAAAAAAAAACAAAAACAAAACTATCAAACAATACATTAAAGGGAATTATAAATAAATTCTTCATAGAGGTATTCTTGTATCATACAATTAAACAATAATTGTTCTGAAATAACTTCATTTGTTGTAAAAAGTGGTCATATCTGTCAGTTATCACAAGGTACAACGATTACAATTAAAATAATGAACCATTTTTTAAAAAATTTATTAATTTTAGATATAAAAGAAAAACTTGTAAGAACAGAGTTAAATAATAACAAAAAACATCATGACACTGTAGTTATAGTCCTAATTGTCTCTTACAATAGAAAATTGTCTCCAAAATATTAATAAAAGGGGCCAAAATGACAAAATATCCCAGCCTTGATGTAAATCACTGTATAAACAACAAAAGACTTAATCAGGTATAAGCTGATGGGCTGTTTTTAAATGCACACATTTGACTTTTTCAAGTATGGTGATTAGGTTTATAACCCACATCTTATATATATATTGCAAACCATAGTGTCAGTCTAAGCATTTGTCTTTCTCCCATTTGAAAAGCTGTGCATGTGGACAGAGATCAACATTTATTTTTAATGATGGGAGAACAGGCATGAATAATGTTGATGCCAAATGGTGGGTGATTTTAAGTTCAGTCATAAAGATTGGGAAATTCTAGAGTCAAATCATGAGGGGTTTTTGGAAACTGTTCTGGATGGCTTTCTTCATCAGTTAGTCAAGGAACCAACTAGAAACAATGCTATTTTAGATCTATTGTTTAACTTCAAATATTGAAATGATTGAGAGTGGAAATTGGGGAACATCTTGGTGCAAGTGATCATTGCTCTATTAGGTTCAATGTCTTGCTGCATATGATTATAAATTTCAAAAAAGGTAAATTTTGAAGGGATGCAACAAGAATTATCTGTTGTGAATTGAGCAGCTGAGTTACTTAGAGACACTAAACAAATGTGGAAAGTTTTTAAAAGATAAATTTTTCAATATTCAAGATAAAAATATTCCTTATAGAAAGGAAAGGGCAGCTACAAGAGAAAGACCAGGTTGGCTCACAAAGAGTTTAAGAAATAAAATAAAAAAATTTAAATTGACTGGTATGACAAGAGATTTAGAAGATTATAGAAGATCAAGAAAATTGGTCAAACAAGAAATTAGGACATAAAAAAGAATGTATGAGAAAAGGTTGGCTGTAAATGTAAAAATTAACAGTAAAAATTTCTTTAAATACATTAAGGGTAAACAAAATGTTAGGATGGGGATAAAACCCTTGAGGGATGATAAAGAAAGGCTAGTATCTGATGATTATGAGATGGCTAGGTTATTACATTTTGCTTTTTCTTTGGTTTTTATTAACAAAGATTTAACCAGTATTCCACATCTAGAACAGTTGGCCAATGGAAACAAGACGACTGCATTAATTCTGAGTTGGTTAAAAAAATTGGGAGGTTTAAAAATCAATAAGGCTCCTGGCCCAGATAATATTTTCCTAAAGGTTTTGAAGGAGGTTAAAGATTGGATATGTGAGCCACTTACTGGTATTTTTTGTCAGTCCTTGAATAGTGGGCAGGTACCAGAGGATTGGAAGTTAGCTAATGTAACTCCTCTTTTCAATGGAGGTGATAAAAATTGTCCCAGTTATTATAGACCCACTAGTCTTACATCAGTTGTAGGAAACGTTTTGGAAAGTCTGTTAAAAAATGCTTTGCAAAGTCATTTAACAAAGTTTAGAATTTTATTGGATAGTCAACATGGTCTCACTAAGGGTAAATCTTGCTTTACAAATCTTTCAACATTCTTTGTAAAGGTTACTGCTTATACAGATGAGGGTAAGGGTGTAGATTTGGTGTATCTGGATTTTCAGAAAGCATTTGACAAGTTGCCAAATAAAATGCTCGTAAAAAAATGATCTCTATAGGTGTGGGGGATAAGTTAGCTAATTGGATAGAAGTGTGGTTGGATGGAAGAAAGCAGAGGGTTGTTACAAATGGAGTTCAGTCAAACTGGATTAATGTCACAAGTGGGGTACT